ATTTTTAAATTTTTTAAAGAATATATATATATATATATATATATATATATATATATACATATATATACATATTTTATATCTTCTTAAATTTGGTTCAAAGCATTCAATGTCGACATCTACAATAGTACCAATTTTAAACTAAGCAAGTACTTGAAAGCTCTAATTTACAACTAAAATATCCTTTATAATTTTATTTTCTAGAAAAATTATTTAGAATTATTAATTAATTTAAATTAATTTTTTTATTATTAATTCTACTTTGAATTTTAAATATATATAACTAAAAATTAAAATTATCAAAATAAAATGATATCATTATAATAATTTTTAAGTATCTAAATTTAAATATAGAATATAGAAGAATTTTTTAATATTAATGTAAGCATCTAAACATTAATATTGTAGCTAATTTTTATTGTATAAGAATGTTTCATCTTTAGTAAATATTATTGATAAGCTTTTTACACTAAGGTATTGATTTTTAGAAATCCTTAAGATTTTTAATACAATTAAATAAAAAATCATCTTTTCTTTTATATTTAAATATAAATATTAATATTATCATGATGTGTTAATTAAAAAAATATGCAATAAAATTTATTTTTTAAAATATTTTTCTACCTTTAAGATTCTTTGAACTTGTCATAATGATATTTTTAATAATTTTTTTGATTTAATCTTTAGAACATGATTTTTAGTTAGTTTAATCAAGAAAGCTAATATTACATAGTGTAACATTTGATATCAAATATTATTGGATGAATGTAGTCTAATTTTTCTTATTGGGTTTTCATTCACATAGAATATTTTTTTAATTGATATCTGACACTTAAAATCTATCTACCACAAAAACATATCATTTTGTCAACACCTCAAAAACTAACACTCCCATCTACTACAAAATCAAGTTTGTTATATTTTCTATAATACTTTATCTTTACTTAGCTTTTGTATAATAGATTAACTTGGATCTATGATTAATATAATTTAGTATCACTTTAATAATTTTAAATTATTATATATAAAAACAAATTTAAATATGTGAATAAAAAATATATTATATTTAAATAATATATTTATTAATTTTTCATTTTTTATTATATTATTACTATATTTATCTTTATAATTTATTAAGTATATTCAAATACATCATATAGTTTTGCATCTATTTTCACTTTCTATATACACTTATTAATTAATTAATTTTACTATAATAGCCCATTTTTAAAACTTTTGGTATAATATTCTCATGATAAATTTCCTTTATTTTTCTACACTATTATTGTTACTAGTATTAATCGTGCTTTAATCTTAAATTCAAATTTTTATATAGTATTTTTTATTTTATTCATTTAATAGATTTTTTCTATTTTTATTTTTATTTATGAAATTAAACTTCTTATTAATTTAAATCATAGCAAAGCTTTGATGCTAATACCTTTAAATTCTCTTTTTTTGATTCTTATTTCTTTTTAGATAATTATTAATTGTAACTGCAAGTCTTAATTCTTTATCTACAATTTTGCCATACATTTTTTTGTCTATGATGCTATAATATATATATATATATATATATATATATATATATATTTATCTAATTTCATTTATATTCTACTAGATCAATGTTTATAATATTCTTGTAATGTCTTCAAATGATTATTTCATACCATGTTTACTGCATCAGGAGCTTTAAAACACTAATATATAAAATGAATTCTAAACAATTTTTTTATTTTTGTTAAATTGTTTTTAAATTTTCTTCTAAAAAATTAGGTTTTTTTCCTCTAAGTTGAAGCTCAATTTCATCTTGCAACCTGTCTAAATTATTTATACATAATTATTCATATTTATGATTTTTTCCTCTTCTTATCTATTAGTATTATTATTATTATTTGCTAAGAATTCATATTTATTTCATAACTTTGCAATGGTTTTTATAAATTCTTTTTTTTAATTTTAATTTTTAATCAATTTTATCTTGTTCTTGAATATTTATTAATATTCTTAATTATAATTTTTATATGATACATGCTAATATTATTTAATTATATAGATATAAATTAAAATAATATTAGATAAAAAAAGTAAAATAAATAAATTTTACTCTTTAAATAATATTGAAGAATCTTCTTACTCATTGATTAAATCAATAGAGTTATAGAAATTTATAAATCTATAGATTTAATCAATTTCTTTATTTTTATAATTTTATTTATATTTTTATTCTTAATAATATATATAAAGTAATTATTTTTTAAAGTATGACTTATTTTGGCTTCTTAAATTTTTTTATAAGAATCAAATATATAAATATATATATATATATATATATATATATTATTAAATTACAATTTCTTATAGATAAAATTTAATTTTTTATTTTAATAAGACATCAAAGTACTTTAAAAATATAATTTTATAGAATTAGATCAATTTTTTTATTGTGATATTTTTTTAATATTTTTTCTTTTTTTGTATAAAAATTATTAAATTATTAAATTATTATACTTATTGAAATTTTTAGAAATTAGGAAACTCACATCATATATATATATATATAATATATGACATGCATCAATCATTTCTACTAATGTAACTAAAATTTAAAGTCACTAATTTAGAAGTTATAGGAGTTTTTTATAAAAATTATATTGTCTAAAGTGATTTATAAAAATACAATTGGACCTATTAAAGAATAAATAGTTTCTTTATCAGAGCAATATAATGGAATAAGTATTAAAATTTATTTCTTGATTCATATCATAAGGTGGATTGATTTAACAGTCTTTTTAAACTATTAATATGTTTAAGAAGTGTAATAAAGGAATAAAGAAAAAAATTTAAAATTTTTTTAAAAAAATAAAAAATAAGCAATCAAAAAATACATAGATAATATAAGTTTGGCTTTGTAAATAAGATTATTCATTTTCAAATTATTTTAATATTAATTTAAATACTATAAATTTTTATGATTAATTCTATGATATTTTAAATAAATTCATAACCATATAAATTGGAATTATTTTAAAGACATTATAATAAAAATTAAAATTAAAATAACTACCATTTATCTCAAGACTCATTTTTTTAAATGGTCAAAGTTTTGTGTCTCATGAAGATTCATAAATAATGTAATAAGTATCTTAGAAGGACCTTTAGATTTTGATATTATTCTCGTACCTACTTCTCATGTGATACAACCTATATGTGATACAACCTATGTGCAACAACTTCACTCAATTAACTACTAGTTGGTGGTCACATTTGTTTTTTCTATAATTTTTTTATTTTTTATTTTTAAAATTTACTTTATATGGTGTTCAGAACACACCCACTCAGCATAGATATCTCATAAGGCTTCTAAATCTTATTTCAATTGTTCTTCATAATCTTTGCAAATTGATAATTTTATTCCTATTAAAATTTATTAATTATTTAAAATCCTCAATATGTATTTTAAAGTCTTTAAAAAAATTCAAAGTGTTTTAAAATATGATTTTTATGTCTTTAAATTCTTAAAAGAATTTCTAAGTCTTTATTAATGATGAGGAAGTCAAATAGATCTTTTTAACTAAAAATTGTTTTACCTTAGATACATATATATATAATGAATCCACCAAATAGGATACATTGATGGAGTTCATAGATGATACTGAATTCTAATTTTAATAATTTGTTAATCAAAGATTTAATCTCTTGTGCTCCATCTACTCCTTGCTTTGACAAGTGATAAATTAGAAATTAGATGTTGAACCTTCTATTTGTTAAATAATCTTTAAATTCATTATTAAACTATGTATTGCAAATGTTAATTCTATTAGATAAAGTGGCATAATACATAGGTGTGGTTCTAAGTCCAATTCAATTTGACAATCAGTAGTTGAACCTTAGTTAAATTTCATATTATTAGAAGCACAACAATCTTGTTTTAATTAACTTATAGACATCTCATTTAAAGACCAACTCTTCTCTTATATTATGCAAATAGGATAAAAAAAAAAGTCTGAATTTGTTAGGTAAAAGTTTGGATGATTACCAATTTTAAATTTTATTTAACCATGTTCTAAAGTCTGCAATTTAGAGAGTCAAGAGCCAGACTCAGCATTAAAGATTCATCAATTAAATGAATCTCAAATGTTGAGTGTGTTTTAGGTGCCATGCAAGCTGCCCTTAAATCAGTAACATTATAAAATATTTTGATTTGGCCTAGCATGCTGCCTCCCTATTACTAAAAGAAACATGCTTAATAAAACTAATTTAATATAAAATGTGTAAGATTAGCAACAAAAGTCAATAATTAGAGGAGTTGATGGTGGTGGAATTTACTTATAACGTTATAGTCCTAGGTTCAATTTTAGTCAACAACAACAATACCTTTTTGTGTTTTTAACTTTGTTTTGGTCCTTCTAACTCAATATCTTCTCCTATCCTCTCCTTCCTTGGTCATTTCGAGCAAACGACTTTAGGTTGGTGGAAGAATACCATACCAAGGACTTCTTGAGAATGACACTGCAACCTGCAAAACTTCTTTTTATTTGTCCTTATATTTGCAAAAGTACCATGATCAGAGCACCAACCTACTATTTCAAAACCAGAATACAATGGTTAGATGGTAAACAGAAGCTAGCCAGAATGGCCTGCGAGTTGACAATGGCATTTAAATACAGCGGCTAGTAGAGATCAGACTAGTCAGATAGGTTCCACTTTCAGGCAATTACTAGCTTCATTTCTTTCTTCAGGCCATAGTCACTGCACTAGAAGAGATTGATACACTGTTGCAACCCACCATTTTGTGATTCAAGACAATCAGCAGAGATCCCAAATTTTAATGATACCTGCAAAAACCAGCGAGCTAAGGGCACATGTAGATGCTACAAGTGGATCTTTTTTTGTAGATGCAAGGATTGAACACAACCAGCATGACAAGACTGCCAGACTACCCAAGACCCAAGAGCGAAATTGATTAAATTCTAAAATCTACAGGATACTATAGTCTCGGCTGATATGAAATTGCAGATGCCGAGCATGCCAGCAACCATATTGATGAACTATGGCAGTTTTCACAGAGGTAAGGCAGCTCAAGACAGGGTCCAAAAAATCTACTTTCGCTTAGCCTATGTGCAACGAGGTAGCAGCAATTCGTAGTGGTTACCTTGTTGAGGTTCCATTACATGTTTGCACCAACTTTAGAGGAATAGCATAAATATGGCTAGAGCGTAGCATAGGAATTAGAATAACTTCGTACGATTGTTATAATACATTTTACCGCTTTGCTTCAAATTTGCAAACAACTGAAAGCTCTGTTCATGGTTCCCATATCTGAACATCCTTGTATAGCATCATCAGTGGTTGATTAAAGGAACATTACTCTTGAGTATGAGCCAACAACACATATACCTAGTTCTAACATTAGCGTGCCTACCTTACGCAAATACTTGCAGTCAGCTTCTGTTTGTACGTCAAGTGGCAGACACTGCACTTCCTCCGTTACCACCGTGATGACATACCGGCACTTCTTGGCATCTTCAGGTTGACAGCGGGTCTTTCCAGTTATGACGTCAAACATTGTGCAGGGCATTTTTATTACATGGTAAGTGATGGCCCCAAAGTAGTCTCCTGTGCAAGATTTTACATGAATAAGCTGCTGCATTCTGTCAGGTATAAGTTCGCATTGTGGTCCGTAGTTCATCAAGATATCCACCTCTTTTTCATTGGAATACCCGATGTACATGAGGGACGGGGCACTGGCTGATAGGCCCCTTGCTGTTACTCTCACGTCTCTCAGGAGTGTGAAATCGTCTAGCAGCTGTCCAGCTACGTAAAAGTCCATCTCATTGCTAAGCAGGGGAAACCAGCACAGGCCATTGAAGTTATTGCTTCTTGGATCGATGTTGATCAGTTTCGCTGCAGTGGGGGCAGGAAGTGAATATATAAGCTTCTGAATAGCTATCTCGAGGGGTTCCTCTGGCAAGCTAGAAATGTCACTGATGCCGAATAGCCCTTATATGCTGTTGAGCTTATCATTGATCACTTTACATTTCCTGTTTCCTATCTCCGAGAATACACCTGTCACCTCCCATCCGCGCCCTTGCTCCATACATATCAGCTGGTAATGCACAAGGAGGAGCAATTGCACAATACATGTCATCTCAATATTAGTCACATCGTAGCGTGCATCTCTCTGCAATATGCATATTTGCATTAAGTGACCATACAAAGATGCTGCATTCTCTGATACAAAAAATGTGTCAAGACTTTGTTCTATTGCATAAAAGCATCTGCTGCTAAGCATGTGCTCTTGGTAGGTCCATGCTCTACTGAACCATTTAGGCACTCTCCCTGTATTTACATCTGCAACTATGTGTTGTTCAGTTCCCATAAGAAGTGGGTGCATAACTACTGATGTAGTTGCTGCAACCTGATGTGCGCTTGCGATATCTGCGCACCTTCATAATGTAGCTTTTCAACAGTAATAGCTACAAATCGGGCACGAAGTTATGCACCCACTTCCGATGCTTACACTCGCACCCAAATGTCCCTGGCAGGTCCTTAGCACTCTCCGCAGATCTAGAAATTCTAGCCCTCGTGAGAACGACTCAATCTTTCAACTCCATGGAGCCCCACAATTTCCCAGGTTTTCGAACAAACAATGCTTCTCGCTCTGCTCACGCAAAGTGGGGAAACTACCTGAGAGAGAGAGAGAATCGAAGCTCTTCCACCACAACCTAGCCACCACCTCGCAACCTAAATCTCGATGCCCCCACGGTAATACCTGGGACCCTGGCCAGACAACTGCACTACATGTCCCGACGCACAATCTTACTACTCTCGGCAGCTAATCACCTCAGGCAACATGGATGGCGCCTTTCCTCGCCTCGCCTGGCCCGCCGACGGACGAACCAGGCATCATGGCAAACAATTAAAGGTAAAGAGAAATCAGATCTTGTCAGACTACATAAGGCGAGAGGTTTTAGGTTGTAGGTTTTAAGCTTTAGGGTTTATTTATTAACAGTCGTAGGATATGCATTAGCAAGTACACATCTTGTCCCTCCACTTGAGGTTGCAGCGAGCATATTTACACTGTTCCTTTTCCCCGTTTGTACAAATGTCGAATAATGTTCTTTGAAACTATTGCTGAGTTCTTGTTCATAATTATTGTCAGTTGGTTGGAGGCATGATGTGACAATGGACGAATGGCAAATAGATCGTATTTGTCGACTTTGTACAGTGGAGTTCACTGACAATAATATATGTATATTTTATTTTATATTTTTATGTTTTTTTGACACAAATAGAAGTGATTCTATTGCAGTTAACTATGTTACATAAATGGGGGCCCGGCCAGGTCCAGCCAGGCTCACCACAGGGTATACCTATATAGTAAACGTATGACTAGAGCCTAACAGTTTCTATTGCGGTTGCTTAGTGTTCCACATAAGTAATACCTCCTTCACACACCACTGTTGTTTGAACTTATTTAGTAGAATATTTTTCTTCTCTGGATTGCTTTTGCAACTGTGCTGGGCCTGGATCCACGCTATCCGCCTGTAGTCGACCAGATTTTCCAAATCAGATGATACATTTTCTTCGGCGACCATGGTGTGCCGTTGAACACCGCATCATTTCTTTCCATCAAATTAACCAAGTAACTCTAGACAACGACCACAAGCTACTAACTTGTTTGAATCTGTGTGGTGCACTGTGGGCAAAATGTTTTGTTTCCACTATGGAGAGAATGTTAGCTGTGGAATGCCCCTGTTTTGTCAATTGTTCTCTTGGGTTGTGTAGTTACTTCGTCTGGGGTTGCAGGATTGCAAACCAGTAGATGGTTGCTCCTCAATTAGTGTACGCAGAATATGCCTACCCCATTTCCAAGCTTGTTGTGCAGAGGCACATTCCCAAAAACTGTATAGTGCCATTTCTAGCTTGCAGCACATACATACTGGGCAGCACTGGTCCACATCATTACTTACTTCACCTAGTTAACTCCACAGCTCTGTGCCATGTTAGCCAGAGTAGGCAGGCTTCCTTTCCTGTGCGCTCCTTATCCCATACATTCAGCCACTTAAGCCCACAGTTGGCATGAAGGATGCCTTGCCAATTGACAGAAACCACTGCAAGAACGACATGTTTCATCGTCAGCAGTTTTGTCCCCAGCTTTGTTGTGTAGTCCATAAGATGTGTTGTGTAGCTCCACATGTAGAGTTTGGGATCCCACTCTTCCTGATCTACATGGCCTTAATAAAATAAAATGCGAGTTTTCTTTTGTCATTGTTGGACTGGAATAACCCTGACAACTCTAATGAATCCTTCATAGTCTGATGGGTTCCAAATCTGAGAGGAATTTAGATGTGACTTTCCACACCCGGCTTGGTTGACTGTTTTGATAGTCTTCAAAGATTTAGACCCAGTCTCCCTCTATGCACTTGAAGCTGGGCGGCTGAAGTAGGTACCTCCATGTTTGGCTTATTTCTTCTATTTGTGATCTCCATGCTCCTGCTTCCTGTAGCAGGACTCCATATCTGTGTTTTACATCTTCATACATCATGAAGTGATCCACAACCCAAACCTCCAGCAATTTGCACATCCCTGCCTTATTTAATTCTGCTGCTCTCCCTATGGAGAACCTAGGATCCATTGCTTGTATTGATGCATCCCTGCCTTATATAATTCTGCTGCTCTCCCTGTGGAGAACCTAGGATCCATTGCTTGTATTGATGGGTGGAACCATGCACTACAATTTAATACTTCATCATGATTACTATTACTTGGAGGCACCATGTGTATTGCATAGAGCATTTGTTGCATAGAGCATTTGTTTCCACACACATGTTATTCAATTCCACACAAGTGTGCCTTGTTTACAATGGTCATGTGGTTGGATAAAATAGTCCATGTTAGGACTCCATTTATTCTCCCACATACAATTGATATTGTAGTAATTGAGATTGTAGCATCATGTGTAGGTTAGATTGCCTAAGTTCTAAAGCTTTTACTATCTATTTGATCAAGATAGAAATTATAACATCTTTGGAATGAATCAAATTGATGCCTTCATTTCTTTTGTGTTGGTAACATTGCAACCAATCCACTTTGGTTTTAGTCCATTGCATTGATCCAAGTGTAAGGTAGTTGTTATGAGATGCTTTTATCTTTACTATTTTTCATTTTATTCCTTCCTAAATAAACATAAAGAAGAATATAATAAAAAGTAGTATATTGTTAATCACTATACTTCTTTTGGTCGTATTCACCTTTGTATTGCACTGATAGGTAAGTTTTGTATGGATTTTGACAAATATGAAGGTATCTATATTTAAGGATGTAAGGGAGAGCCCAAATAGTACCTTTGAAAGTTTTCTAACTTTTATATTTTTTGTCTATGAAATACCCATTTGATCTATTCATGATGGTTTTTTAAGGTTTTATTTGTATTTTTAGTAGCCATTTGATTTATCATAGTTTAAGATTAAACTTGGTGTAAGGCAAGAAATGTCTCATATACATATCAAATTTTAAACTCATATTTATTTATTTATTTAATAAGCTTAGGGATGTATCATCCACATATTAGGCTATCACTTATTGCTTGTCTCCAAAATAAAGATGTATGTTATTTATATTTCTCTTTTCTACTTTCTTTTTTACTATTGCATTCATTACTTTTGCCACTAAAAAAAAAAAAGTATGGAATAAGTATCATGGACATAAATATTTATTCCAATAATTACTTGTATGATTAGGTAGAAATATGTTAAAGTAGATTAATTGAATAATATCTTGTGGAAAAGCTTCCCAAAAGCTTCATAGATACAACTTTGACTTTATACATGTTTGTAGTTGATTGGTAGATTAGAAACTTGATCAACAAGTTATGCACGTACCATATGTATTGATAGCTTGTAAAACAAGCTAATTATGTAGTGTACATATAGAAAAATTGTCTTTCAAGTTAACATATGTATCTTGCAATTTAGACATGTATTGGAGATTCCAATAAGTCCAGTAGATAATATTTCTTCTTTTAAATTAAGCGAGAGCTTTTCTTTCTCTAATCCATTGCAACCCCGCCTTACAATGGTGTGTGATAAAAATCCTCAAGGTCTTCAAATTTCTCATTTGATAATGGCTTCTCTCTCAACTTATCACAATTTCTCTCATAATTAGCACAAACAGTTAAAAATTGAACTACTTTCATCCCATCTTGGCTTCTTATTCTTGCATAGGCTGAACTGTCATCTATTACTTTTGTTTCCATTCATGTGGAAATAATATATGGTTGTTCCAATATAATAAAATATGTAGACATGTCTTGCACAAAAAAATTCTGTTCATGAATAACATCTTCTATTGTCACCTTGATATTTGGACATGCTCCATACAAATCTCCCTTTGAATTGTTTGCAGCTCTTATCATCCACCCATGTTTAGTATCAATAGGCCATTTTCCTTTGTTATACAATTCTTTTCATATCAAATTGATTTCAAAACCATGATCAATCAATGCTACAACTGGTTCTTCTAAATTTCCCAATTTTATTAAAGTCTCCGTTGTAGCCCTTGTTCAATGACTTCTAAAATAATGGCTAGAAGCTTGAATGACATCTTTCTTTTCTGCAAATCTTACTCGCAAGACATCTTCAAAATTTTGTATTTCTTCTTCTTCATCTTCATTTCTTTCCATTGCTCTTGTTTCTTGTGCATTTGATGTCATAGAGTCTCTTATAGATTATCATTTTTTCTTTATTGTATCAATAATAACTTCATGAAACTCACACTTTGCAATTCTTAGAATTTCACCAATTGTGAATTCAACCTTTCCACTTAAAATCCGCTCATCCAATACCTTCTTCAAATTTGTAGTAGCTTCAATATCTGATTGTAATTTATAAGCAAGAGTCTTTTCTTTTTGTTTTTCAAGTTCCCTTCTCTTTGTAGAAATGTTCTCTTTTGTCTCTTCATGAGTAGGATTCTTTTGTTGTCATGTTTTTTCTCTCCTTTTAGTTCTTTTTGAGGGCCCTTCATTATTTTCATCTCTCCTTCATTTTTCTTCAATTAAAGCTTCATACTGACTCCTTGCAATATGAGCATATACAGATAATCTATCTATTGGATTATCCCACCCAGTAATTTGTCGAATGTTATTACCAACATGTTTTAAATCATCTCTAGTAAAATTTCTTCTTTTAGCATAACTCATTGCACTTGTCCACAAAGAACTAGATTCTCATGGAAACTCAAGATTTATACTTAAATATCTACTAGGATTTGCTTCCACCCAATATCTTGATGCTTCATTCCTTGATATTGTATGCACTTTAAAAGTATCTCCAACGAATAACTTTATTCTTCCTTTACCAAAATTTGTTTCCAATTTTTTTCGAGTTTCTTTTGAGTGTATCATACCATCTTTAAAAAAAAAAAACTCCTTTACGTAATGCCTTAGTAAAATCTTCACATTCCCTCCTTGAGTGATCTATGCTATCACATTAGATGTATCTATGTACTACACCCTCTATTGGCCCTAGTCTTTGTTTTGTTGATATTCTTGATGATTGACCCTTCTCTTCAAGTTTTGTAAATTTTATTTACAAATCTGTCATCTCATATATGATTTCATTAATTTTCATTTCTTCTTTCTTTGATGTAGCCATTGAAGGTTGAATCAAAGATGTCGGATGGATATTGGATACCTTTACTTTAGATGCTTGTAATGGTCTTTGGTCACCCCTCATATCTTTTTTCCTTTCTCTTTCTATCAACGATCTCACAACCTCTTCTATCCTTTTCTAATTTGTTGTCAATCCTTTATCTTCTTCTTTATCTTCAAGCATGATTTTCAAGTTCTCTTGCAACATTCTATCAACTGCTTGAAGAAAGAGCTCCACATTACTTAGATCCAATAATTTTCTTTCTTTCTTTGATAAAGAAGAATATTGCTTTTCAAACTCTCTTAATAATTATG